ACTAATAAACTATATTCTATATAAATATATTAAACAGTGTATTACAATATACTTAGATAGCATTATTATTTACTTTCAAAGTCATAAAGAGCATTTGGGTTACTTAAGAAGCATTCTTTTTAAAATATAAATACTAGATTAAAACTTAATTTAGAAAAATGTGATCTAATATTTAGTTTTTAAATTATATAGTAAAAAAAATAGCATCCAACCTAACCTATCCAAAGTAATTAAAGTTTACGAATTTTTAATACTAGCAAATCTAAGACAACTAAAAAAATTTATTAAACTTGCTTTATATTATTATTGCTTTATAAAAAACTTTTTAATTATAGCTAAATCTCCGTATAAATTGCTAGAAAAGAATATTAAATATAAATAAACCATATTGCAGAAACAAATACCAATAGCTAACTTAACTTTAGCTTCTATTTTAAAAATATTCAGACTTTAAAAGAATATTTTATTTATATACTAATGTTTTTTGTATTTTTTAGATGTTATTAGTTTAAAAAAATAATACTAAAAAGAATTTGCTGTTGTATATAATATTAAAAGCCTAATTCAGACTGAGAAAAATTATGCAACAATAGAATTAAAATGCTATTCTGTAATTTAAACTGTAGAACATATTTATTTATATTCAGAATAAAATTTTTTGTAATTATTACCAATTATAGTGTTCTAAAATAGTTATAACTATAGCTTTAAAAGAGCAATATTCCTAATAAATTCTAAAACTTTAATGTTATAACTTTATTTTAGTTTACTAAATTAAACAGATGCATAGTAATATGAATGCTTTTTTAAAAATAAAGAAATACTTTGTTACAAAAACAATAAATATAACAACAATACTTATCAAAAATAGCTAATATAAAAAGCATTATTAAGACTTATACTAATAAAAAAAATACTATTCCTATAACTTAGAATGTTAAAATTAAATATAAAGCAAAGATATTTAAAACTTATACAAAAAACTATTTTTTTAAAAAAATATAAAAGACTGACAATAGTATTGATTACTAGATTAGAATAAGAAGAAAACATTTAAAAAATATCTAAAATATTAAAAATAACAGAAAACTAATTAATTAATTGAACACTTTATTAAAGTTAATTACTTATCTATTAATACTAGCCAATCAGATTTCTTAATTTTAATAATTATCTAATTGCAATTTACATAATTATTATTTATATATAAATATTGTTATATAACCTAAAAATTTAACTAAATATATATTGTATTTTATATATATATACTTTATTATTATTTATTTTATATATTTTATATTTATTTTATCTATTTTATAAATAATGTTTATTTTAATTTAGTATATATTTTTGTTAATAATAATTAGATTTTTTTTTAAATAAAATACTAAAACAGTTTAAACTATCAAAAAGCATTATTACTTAATCAAATATAATATTATTAAAAAAACAGCTAAAGCTATATAGAAATTTATTCTTTATCATTATATATTCTATCTTATATAATTAAAAAAAAATATGGGTCTAAGTTATATAACTTAGTAGTTATGCTCTTAGATTTATACAGACAAGGTTAATAATTTAAGTTTAGCTAAAGATAAATATATTCTGTAATCTAATTAGAAGCCTATAATCAGATATGTAACTTTGCAATACAAGCCTAAGTGAATATCTGTTTAAATTAAAAATTTCTAAAAGAAGATTAACCTGTATATGTAGATATTATATTTATTAAAAAAAGCAATAAACACAGAATAATCTATAAAAAAGAATTGGCCTTATTATTAGAGAATACCTTTAGCAAAAAAACCTGTAACAGACAAAGTTGTAAGATTTGGCTCTGTTTTAGTAAAGTTTATTTTATAAATAAAATAGTATAAAAGTCTAATATATATTAAATTAAGTCTGGTATTATAGAAAAAATATTAAAAATCAGAGATTTTAAATAGACAATCTACAGATAAGTTTCAGATATATCAATTAATAGGTAACCTATAGACAGAATCTTTAATAAACAATAACTAAAATTGTATATATAACTAATTGTAATCTTATTAATATGCAAAATATAATACTTTTTATATCAATAAGTAGAATGTTATTCTTAATAAAAATTTATAAAAGAGGTGTAGCAACCTAGTGAAGTAGATAGGTTTTCAACTCCCAAGTGGCAGGTCTAGAGTTCAAATCTTAGTGATAGCAAAAATTTGCAATTCTTTCTATATTACAGCTAACTGTTTTTTGTGATTGGTTGGGATAAGATACCTGTAACCTGTGTTATACCAGTATGACTGGAAGGTCTAGGCACTCATACAACATTATATAAGGAAACACAAACTGGTACCAGATGGTGTGAACTCAAGATAAGTCCTTAGGTCATGTAATTTACAGAAACCAGTTAGGAAAACAGAAGCCTACTTGGAAGACCTAAATAGAAAAGTAACCTGAACCTTTAATGGTGCTACTGTAAAGACTAAACTTATGAAATGAAACTAGAACTTGTGAAACTGGACAAATATACTAGTTTTTGAGGAGGGACTGGATGAACCAACCAGGCTATCAGAATTTCTGAATTTTGAAAAAAAAGAGCACATGTTAGCAAACATATGAACCAGAGATGTATTGTTTTGACCTATCTTTCCAGGCTATCTAGAATGGCAGCTTGGTAGAACTTGAATTGAATACCAAAGTAGTAAGAATATGTTGTGAAGTTAGTACCAGAATTGGAATAAACTCTATAAGGGCATAGTAGTTTAATAATATGTCCTAACTGCCAGTGTTGGTCTCAGCCATAGTAATACCAGATCAGCTGTAAAAATGGAATACAAAAGATTCTGAAAGGTTTAGTATAAGATCAAAAGTTCCTCATATGAGTGAACTGCTTTAAAGACTTAGTAGCCATGACATATTTTTATTGACATCGGCCAGAGTCATTAGTAAGCAGAGGTAGGTGGATAAATATGAAAACAGAGTGGTTAAATAAGGAACCTACAAGCAGGTTCCAGCTATGGCAACTAGTATAGAACCTTTGAGTGGACTACTTAAATTAGACAATGACTAAAGTTATATGAATAACTAGTTGTATACTCTTCTTATGATTGCCTCTTGTGGTTGTAAAACATTTATTAGTCAAATATACTACTAATAAAATCCTGGGTTGCAAGTACTCACCTTAATATTTAAAAAAAAAAACTTTATAAAGCTATAGAGATCTTTCTTTAAATCTAAAAAAAAATTAATTTCTTAAAAAACACATTATTACACAACTTACTAGTTATAAGCTTACTTATATATAATAAATTTATATTTCTAAAAAACTTATAATGTCTAAACATATAAAGGTAAATATCTAAAAGATTTATAAACCTTTAAAAAGAATTAACATTTTAGTTATTTATAAAGTAATAAGATAGAGATGTAATAATCTAATGAAGTGAATAAGTTGTCAACCATCAACTAATAGATCTAAGATTCAATTTTCATGAACAATAAATTTTGAAAATTATAACTTTATTACAGTAACTGTATCTTGTCAATTAATTAGATTTATGTATCTGTAATCTTAGGTACATCAGGTTAGAATTCACCTGATTTTGGGAACTCAGAGCATCTATATGAAGTATAATATTATACATATATAAAGAAATGTGAAAAACTAATATTGCATAAGGTTTCAGTACAAACATGTAATAAGTCCACAAGGTATAGAAGACTAAGAAACTGAAGAGACAGAAGTCCACTTAAAATTTTCAAGAAAAGAAACATAGATAACAAATAACTGAAGTAAATATAAATACTTAAATCAATAAATTACAAATATTTATAACAACTATGTCAAGCAATGTTAATCATATTTAAAAATATATTTACTAATTTGTATATTATAGTTACAATGATAATAATTGATGGGATTTATTTAGTACAGTATGAAATTGTACTTTTTCAAGCCGTTAATATAAATATAAATGCATAAATGTTTATTCAGAAGTACGCAATAAAAACTGCGTTAAACTAAATTAAAATCTGATACTTAATGCACTAGTGCAATCAATACACTGCAATCATTTTTAACTCCCTTTAAGCAACTCAAGCGCCTAGTTCATAGTAAAAAATTTATTCACCTGATCTGCGTGATATCTCGATCGACTGATAAATGCATGCTCATAAATGCACTGACTAAGTAAAAACTTTCTAAATGTATGGCATAGTCTGATCCCAATACATAAATGCTATATATAATTTCTACTCCATAAATGCATACTCTCTCTAAGTGCACTATTTCAATTTTTTTCTATGGTCCCGACGGCAGTGCATTTACGGAGTTTGACTGATCTACATAGCTTATAGGGCGTATATGCGGATATGCGCGTACGTACGTACATTATAAGTTATGTTAATGATGTTCGTACTTATAAATAGCGGATATTCAGCTCATTGTAATGATTTTAAAAGAATAAACAGAATCAAACCCCAGAAAATACACGGTTTTTAGAAATTTACACAATGAAATGTTGTTAAAATTAATACGTATACGTACAGTAAAGTTCGGTCATTTCTAGCCATTAGATATCTAATATAGAAATAAACTTCTAAAACAACGTGCATGCATGATATAGAAATTATTTCTAAATTAGCAAATCTCTATGATGAACGGCAAATTGAATAGAGCATATACAACAAATTTGAGTAATATATTGTTTTGATTTATAAGATTTATGATGAATGACTTTATGATTGTATGATTAGAATGACTTTATAACTTAGTATTTTCATTAATGACATTGATTATTTTTTTACCGATTTCTTTTGTAATAATGTATTTTTTATCAAAATAACGAGATTTTATCTATTTTGAGAACACATTTTTGAAAAGTTGGATTTCATAAATATATATAAATACATCCTCTTCCTGAGATTTTTTCATCATTCACTGCATCATCTTTCAGAGATTTTTATAATATAATAATAATTCAACAACAATATTTGAGAATTTAGAAATCATGCATTTGAAAAAACTTTTATTCTTAACCATTTTGACCTTATTTTCCGTCTCTTTTTCTGAGGCTAATTTTAATAACTTGAATAAAAGAAATAAACCAAAAACTTGCCCGAATGCTCTACTCTCGGCTACTTCTGAAAAAGATATAAAAGGACAAATGTCCTTTTATCAGGATCTCCAAGGAGAGATATGGTTGACTGGTACTTACCAATCCGGGTTTCAAAAACCTGGTACTTGGGATTATTGTTGGACAATTCAAAATAGTTGCGGTGATATTCTTTTTAATATCACTGATCAGTTATATATGGAGTATACAAAAGGTAGTGGATGTAATGGTTATGATGATGATTCAAAAACAACAAGTTATAAAAGGAATGATGTTTATCTTAATAAAAGAAATAAAGAGAAATGTGAAGCTGGAGCATGGGGTACTAAGCCTTGGGTAGTTAAAATGTCAAATTTAACTTGGGATTGTGGTGATGATAAAGGTTTCAAATATCAAACTTGTGAGGGTAAAGACATTTATAAAGACATGGTTATTGATTATACTAAAGAACAAATTCCAAACCGGCTTAATAATCAGGGTCCTACAAGTGGTCTTTATTTAGTTATTGATGGTCAAAGTAAGTGGGGAAAACGTGCATCTATTACTTCTCCTGCTGCGATTAATGTTAATAATGAAGGCAATGTTGTAGCACCACCGCCAGCATAATTTACCTAATTTTTTTTTTTGTTGATTTCACATATTTCATATTGTATCTGATCTCATAATTTGATTTCTGAGTCATATGCGTATATTGCAATAAGATATTTAAACCGAGAATTTCTATTTGTACACTACGTGTATATACACTGTTATTGTTATTTTTTTTGGTAATAAAAATAATTTTTGCGTTCTAATAAAGATTCCTTGCAAAAAGAATTTAACATAAACTATGCTTTTCTATAAGCTCTAAAAGTACCTTACCCTAATATATGCTTTTCCATAAGCTCTAAAGTACCTTACCCCAATATTAAACAGGGTTAATTTTATTGATAAAAATTATATATTATGTAAATGTGCAAATTATTAATTAAGGAGCAATATATTTGTAGTCCTTCATCCGTTGGATTAGTTGTGTAACATTGACGGTTCCTCTTGTAGAATATTCCATCTGGATTATTCAAGTCAAGATGATCTACCAGGAACGTTCATATCTGCAGATTTTCGATACCCAACTTCATCTACAAGCTGTCAGGATATTCACATTTGCAAAATTTTGATATAGTGATTAACCGCTAATAATGTAACTAATAGAGAATATTCTACCCGGATTATATCTGCAAATTTCTGACATCTTTATTTTTGCTCCTTTCAATTCCAAACTAGAAGATTAACCGAACATGTTTTTGACAATGATATTTATTGTCATTAAACTAACTTAAAAAATATATTTATTTATTATTTGAAAAATACAAGTTGTACATAGCAATAAATTCTTTTATAGGTTGAATACTGTGCAAGACGAACGTGCGTGCAATTTACCTAATTTTTTTTTTTTTGATGATAAATGTTACCTTGCACTTACTATTATGAAATTTTATACTTATATGTTGAATGTGGAGATCTTGAAATTTATAGTTTCTAAGGAATGTACGTACGTGCATACATTTACAGGAACCACTCTTATAAAGTCGGTATCCATATCGGTTTCTAATAATCTAACCAATCTAATATATAATACCGAATACAAATAAAAGAACTACCATTACATATTAGCGTTAGCGTTAGACCAACACCTCAAGCATTTTTGTCTTTTGTGATACAGTACAATAACGGTAATACAGTAATAGTAGAATGAATGGCGTAATTCCTGAATATCAATACTGTATTCCGTTTCTCAGATGACACCACAGATGCATGCGATAAACACTTTAAGAAATCTACCAACCGGATTTATTTTGCGTACAGTAATAAATGTAAATGTGATTGGGTACAAATCACGAGAATATTTAATTTATAATCGGAGAATTACAGAATTACAACATTGTGTTTAACGTTAAAAAATCGGAAATAAAATTCTTTTTTTTTTTTATTATTAAGAAAAAATGATGAATTTTCCTAATGAATGTCTTTTAGAAATTTTCAATAATTTAACATATGATGGAAATTTACTTTATAGAAGTTTATTTTCATGCCTTCTTGTAAATCGACAATGGTGTAGACTTATTGTACCAATATTATGGAGTAATCCATCAATTTATTTTGAAAATAGAAATTTTATTCAAACATGTCTTTTAATTTTAAATGTTGAAGAACAATCACTTTTAATTCCTTTTAAAATTAATATTCCAAATTATCCAAGACCATTATTTAATTATACAAATTATATTAAATTTGTTAATGATCATTTAAATTCAGGAATTAAACATTGGTTAAATAATGAAGGTTATGAAACGGTTAGAAAAGATTTAATTTATTATACAAAAGATGCTCTCGTAGATACTATTAAATTTTCTTTAATTAAAATGTTTCTAAGAACAAGTAATAAACTTGAATACTTGGAAATTTGTGGAAATGTTTATGACAAAATAATTATAGAAAATCTTTATAGAAATTCTACTATCACTACTTTAAAACTTTCTGGTGCTGAAGGAAAAAAAATCTTTATGGAACTTTTTTATAAAAATATTACTTTAACTTCTTTAACTTCTTTAAGTCTTAATAATGTTTACTTGGGTTTTTATGGTGGAAAAGCATTAGCAAAAGCTCTTTGCGCAAGTAATGTTCTAACTTCTTTAAGTCTTAAAAACAATGGACTTGGTGACGAAGGGAGTAAAGTGATAGTGGATGTTCTTAATAAAAATTCTATATTGTCTTCTTTAAAAATTTGTAATAATCATGTTGGAATTATAGGAGGAAAATCATTGGCAAAAGTTCTTCTCACAAATACATCTTTAAATTCTTTGGATTTAAGTAATAATCAAATTGGTTCTGTGAAAGGAAAAGCATTAGCAAGTGCTCTTTATAAAAATACCACTTTAACATTTTTAAATCTTTCACATAATCGACTTGGTTTTGAAGGAGGAAGAGCATTTGCAGAAGCTCTATATAAGAACACTTCATTAAAATATTTAAATCTTAGCGATAATAAACTTTATGATAGAGGTGGTAATGCGTTAGCTGAAGCTCTTTATGTAAATACCACTCTAACTTTTTTAGATCTTTCAAATAATCGACTTGGTGCTAGTGGAGCACAAGTTTTAGCAGATGCTCTTAACAAAAACACTACTTTAACTTATTTAAACCTTGGTAGTAATTGGGTTGATGTTGTTAACTTTTACACGGAAGTAAAATCATTAGCAAATGCACTTCGTATAAACACTTCTTTAACTTCTTTAGATCTTAGTAATAATCGTATTTATTCAGTAGTAGTAAAAGCATTAGCAGAGATTCTTTATATAAATACTGCTATAACTTCTTTAAATCTTGCTTATAATGAACTTGATTATAAAGCAGGAATCACATTTGCAAAAGTTCTTTGCAAAAATACGTCTTTAAAAACTTTAAATCTTGGTAGTAATATGCTTGGTTCTGAGGGAGTAATGGCATTAGCAGGATCTCTTTGTAAAAATAATACATTGACTCATTTAAACTTGAGTAATAACAAGATTAAATTTGATGGAGGAAAAGCATTGACAAATGCTCTTTATGTAAACAAAAATTTGATTTTTTTAGATATTCGTCGTAATTCACTTGATTTTGAAGAGACTAGAACATTAAAAGAAGTTCTTTATAAAAATACTATAGTCATTTTACGCATTTAAAAAAAGCATTGATATAAATATTATTCTAAAAATACTTGTATTTCTAGACTAACTTGGTTTTAATAAAAAAAAAAGGTATTAAAATATGAAATCTTTTTTTGATTGAATTAGGACATTGAATTTACAATTTTTTTTTCCATTTATTTCAGTATGGTACGTCCCTACAACCTGATGTTGATAACCAAATTCAGAGTGAGTTTACGATACCTTACCTTGAGCTATGGATTAAAGTTGTTTAGAATTTAAGTGATTGCGGCATCGATGCAACAATACCTTTATATTTTAGTCAAAATAATTCCTTTAATATGAAATGATATATAGTACCATTAAGAATCAATTCTAGATATCGATATTATGAAATGTTTAGGGAATTTATCTAAAAACATTACAGCATTAAGTAAGTTTATTTCAATTATTTCAAATCAAAAAACTTTTTAAATAATATAAGTACAATAATAAATCTATTAATACAAACTAATATTAAAAAAAAACAACCAATAATTTCGGACACAATTTTGCCCTTATCAGTTTTGTAGTAATCAAAAAAAAATGCAAGGAATTTTTCGGAATTGATGAAATAATTAATATACAAAATTGATGACAAAAATTTAAGCGGGTCGTATGATGTAATGTGATATGACGTATTGGTTGATCGACAATAACTCTGATTGGCCAAAATCATTTACCTTGTTCACGTGAAATTCTAACATTTCTTGATCAAATTAAAATATAATATTTCGTAACATGCTAGAGATAACCCGGATTTAAGTTTAAAAACCGGGTTGTCTGAATTTTACAACCGGATTAAGATCTAGTCTACTCTTTTTTTTTTATAAAAAATTCACCAGGAAATTTTAGACCTGATCGAATTATGAAACTCAATAATAAATGATCCGGCAATTCAGATATTTTATCATTTTGTTATTTTACTATTTTGATATTTTTATACTAATTTCACATTGCCATCCCAAAATCCTCGTCCTCATCAACCGAATAAGAATCTTCATAAGTGTTCAAACGATTATAGCAATGTCCACAAACCCATCGCCAACGACCATTTTCCATCACAACACGTGTGAGACCACCCCATTCTTTTGCTTGATCATTCATTGCTAAAAAGGCCTCAAGTTCTCGTAATGCAGCTCCTTGAACAACTTTCATCCGACCAACAGGATCTTTTTTTGTTTTTTCAATATCTCTTGTTTGTTCTGAAAATGTAATCTCTGAATCAAGAATTTGTGTAAGTTGTTTAAAATATTCAGTAGGTCGAGCTGTAACACCAGAAAACATGTCACTTATATTAGGTGGCATATTCGTATGCAAGGCATGAGCAACCTAAATAAATAAATAAAAAAATTTATAATTACTCAAAAATTATAGTTCAAAAAAATTTTTTTTTTTTTTTAAATAAAAAAAAGTCTACTAACCCCTGCAGAGATTATTGTCGCCATTATAGAAAGATATGGACCAGCTTTTCTTAATAAAAGCTTTGGATCATGAATTTTATAACCCACATGATTTGTAAAATGTGCTTCTTGATTATTTGGATCTAGACCTTCACAAAGAAGATGTAAGATAAATGTATTTTTTCCCCAAGTATGTGGTTTGAATATGGATTTGGCTTCTTGACCTGGTAATAAAACATATAAACGTGGTATTGCAGCATCTACTGTATCAGTTATACTATTGACTACAGCATCAATTTGTTTAAGGATAAGATTAGTTGTTTCTTGAAGAGTTGAAAGAATTGCACTTGTATTTTGGTTTACTACTGTAATTATACGATCTGTTGATTCGTTATGTAGTGAAGTCAACTAAATAAATAAAAAAGGTATTGATATATCAATATATAACGATAATTAAATGATTGAAATCCTATCATTATTACTATATTTATATTAATTCAAAGATTACTTCAAAGATCACTAACCTGTTTAGTGTCCAAACCTGAATTTAAAAAGGCTGAACGAAGAATTTGTTCACATGATATTCTTTCTGATGGTTTGACAGCCAACATTTTTGATAAAATATTTCTAGCTTGTTGATCAGGAATTTTATTTAATGGAAAATCTACCAATTCGCCTTGAGCAAAACTTCTAGTTAATTTATTAATGGCTTCTTCTTCAGAATAGAAAAGTGGTGTATTTGTGTATAATTCATAAATTATACAACCAAGTGACCATATATCCATTGAAGTTGAAGCAACTATTGACTGATTATTATAAGCTGCATTGTACACCTCGGCTATAAAAAATTTTTTTGATGGTATGGTTATAACAATAGACAATAGATTTTTATAAATTTTAATAAATATTAAAAAATATTAATAATTAAAACTTACGTGGGCAATACATAGGTGAGCAATCATCGACCCATTCTTCTCCTACAAATCTGGCAGCTTCAAAATCCACAAGACGCCTTTTCAATTAATGATAAAAAAAAAGAATTAAAATGTAAAACTATTGTTTATTCATGAAATCAATCATTAATTGAAATTAAGAATTTACCAGGATGTAAGGTCATCCTTTTCATGTACAAAATTACCAGGTTTAATATCCAAATGAGCAACATTATGAGTATGAAGATAATGAATTGCTTGAGTAATAGATTTAATTAACAATTTAATATACAAAACATCCATTGAGGATAATTTTGTTATGATTAGTTTATCCATGCTTTGAGGATAATAATTTAATATAATAACATAAGGCCAATCTTTTTTTGATGGAAGTTCATATAATGCCAACAATTCACCAACATGACGTGATCGTAAGTATTTAAGCATAATAACTTCTCTTTCAAAAGATTCAAAATTTTGAAAGAATTTGATAGCAACTTGATCATCTGTTTGTTCATCAATAGCTTGACGTATCGTATTATTACCACCATAAGCAGAATTTCCGCAAAGTTTATAACGTTGAAGGATGACAGTTCCAGTAGGAGCAGATGGTGTTATTGTGACAACATCAGGTTGATCATAAGTCATAGCATTAAGCTTATGACGACCAAATACTTCATCTTTAAATCGAGTATTGGAATTAGGTACATGTACACGTATTGTATGTGGAGCTCCTGTTAATGTTGTTAATGTAGAATTTGATGAATTTGAATTTGAATAAAAACCGGGTTTTGGAAAATCAAGATTTTTATCTGAAGATATATTAAATTGAGCCGGATTATATGCTTTTAAATTTGATTTATGATCCAAAGAAGGATCTTGATCAAAGTTATCGTCTTTTCCGAATGAATGGATTTTTGATTTTTCAAATTGTTTCTTTCGATAAATTCTATAAAAGATGAACATGATAATAGCTAATATAAGAAGTAACAAGCCTCCTCCTATAGCAACATATAACATTAAAGATGATTGTGAATTATTGCTTGTCGGATTTCCTGGATTGCCTGAATTGCCTGAATTGCCTGTTGAATTATTTTTGTTGGTACTATTTCCTTGTGAAACGGAAGTGAGGGGTTTTATGAATGGGTCATTCTGATTAGGAGCCAAAGGACCACCAAGAAATTTATCCATTGGAGCATTTGTTACATAATTATAAGTAGTAACCCATGCTCTTTGAGTCATATTAAATATTAACATATCAGCCGTATTTCCAAGATAGGTGTTTATATCATTAACACTACTATTTTTTGTACTTCCACCGTAAGTCTACAACAGTTCAACAAAAAAAAGTTAATATCGTAAAGTGTAAAGGTTAAAAATGAAACAAACCTAATTATTTAAATTGCATACAATTAAAGCGTCACTACCAAGGAGTTGTGCATTAGCATAATAAGCATGACCTACTGTGGACATAGGTCCAGAAGAGTAAGTATCAAAAGAATTGTTTGATAACGTCTGTTAAAAGATAAGAAATTATAAATTATTGATACATATACATACATATACAAATATATACACATAATTATAAAAATGAATTTGAAATAACTACCCAAACTCTCATGGCAGATGGACCAGAACTATCATCAGAAACTATAAAAAAAGTATCATTTAAATGTCCTACATGTCCATTAAACCATCCAGTAGGCATTGATGCTTTTGGATCAAACCATTTGCGTGTGGGAACATTGAAACCCCATACATCATAGAATAAACCACCATTAAAATCGGAACTTCCACCAATTATGTACACATTATCTTTAGAATAAGCCATACCAAATAGACCATTTGGTGGTGGGGTAGTTGAGTCTAATGGTATCGTTTCCCATGTCATATTGGATATATGAAGTAAATATGTATCATTTGATGGAGACCCACCAAATTGGAATAGTACTTCTTCACCAGCAGAAGTAGTAAATATAACAAGACTGTGACTATTACGATACGTGAGGTATTTAACAGTATCAAGGCCCGTAGTTTGTGGTGTATACCTTTAAAACAAAAATGAATAAAAAAAAAAGAAATCATTGGCATATTCACAAAGTCACTAGCACATTGCATTATTGCATTATCGCATTATTGCATTTTCGCATTATTGCATTGTAAACACATACCATGTACCACTCGTTCCTTTAGTTAGATCGAAGGCTTGTATACCCTTATAATTCACGTCAGAAATTACACCGCCGCCTGTCACTATTAACACACCAGAAGAAGTCACACCACAGGCTGGTCTACTACTCGCATTATGTGAGCCAGTCGTAGGCATTGCGACCCATTTCAAATTTGAAGTATCAAATGGTGCTTCAACATAACTGAACCAACTATTCTGTAGGTCATTTCCAGTCCCACCAAATACATATACTCTATTTTGATAAGCTGCAAGGCATGCACTCTCTCGAGGTCCGGGTTCTGGCTTTAATGTTTGCTGCTGCGCATTAATGACAAAAAATGAAAATAAATATAATAATGAGATGTTTAGTTTGATGATTAAGTTTATTCTTATCCTCATCAGTGACTTCATTGCTTTATAGTATATGATATGAAAAGAAGGAATGGTTTTTTTTTTTTTTTTTTTAGAACGCAGCAATCGAGCGAATGCTACGACGTTATTTTGCAAGTAGAGAAAGTTTAATTAGTATATTGGTTTAATCTTAACGTTAAGGATAACTTTAGTGTGTTAATATTATTCGAAAATGGAAATCATCGAAATTAGTTTGTACCATCAATATTCACGTTACAATTTACACATACATATGTGTGCATTAAAAGAAACCAATCATTATTATAAAATTAATGAATGTTTTGTCCGAGGAATGACAAACATTCAAAATTGAAATGTTATATCCTAATATTGTATTCAAATAAACAGTTTGCAAGATTATTAAATCTATTAATGCAGTTTTGTTGTTACCTTTAAGTATAAAATCATATACGTATGCACAAAACCTTAATAGGAATTAACTAATAATATAATTCTCCGAGGTTCTGTTCTTAATAAGCGTCCTCAAAAAAAACGAATGAGTTGATCTTGAATAAACTTCTAATATAAACTCTTCTCCAATTAGGTTGGTCACAATTTAAATGTGAACATAATTATTCAATCACTAAATGTACATAATAGTATTCAAGGTTACCTCTTTATTAACTTATATTAACCCTTAATTTACCACGTTTATTTTGTGTAACATGTGTTCAATATAACCTCCAACAAGTCGTAGGCAACTCCGTGTTGTACTGCAATATTATATTTCAATTTGCACGATATCAATCACTCGAAAGATCATCAAATAACAATATCAGATATAATACCTACAAAGTACGTATGTACGTACGTACAAAGTAGAAATATAACATCACTAGCTCTCAGGCCCGGGCGATGCTCCGGGGCTAGGTTCTAAGTGTTTTAAATCTCAGATTCTGCAGTTTTTTGGATTTCATTTCTGTAGTTATTTAATTTATAAATTTAATATTAGTTTAAAAATAATATAGTAATTTATTTATAATTTTCTAGCTTTCAGGCCGGGCAATGCTCTGGGGCTAGGCTGAAGTGTTTTAAATCTCAGATTTTTAGTTATTTAATTTACAAATTTAATATTAGTATAAAAAATAATATAATAATTAATTTATAGTTTTTTGGCTTTCAGACCTGGGTGATGTTCTAGAGTTAGATTTTAAGTTTTTTAAATCTTAGGTTTAAGAATGTTTTAAAGGTTAGTTTTTAAGTTTTTATGTTTTTGCAATATTTTAAGTTATGTCTTATAAATTTTTTTAAAGTTTTTAGCTCTTGAACTCAGATAATGCACCAAGATTAAGTTTAAATTTTTGAACTTAAGCAATATTTTAAAGATTAAGTTTTAAAAATTTTTTACTATTCAATTTAAAATTTTTTAGATTTTAAATATAAACAATGCTTTGAAGCTAAGTTTTAAGTTTTTTATTATTTAATTTAAAGTTTTTTAGTTTTTAGATTAATAATATTTTAAAGTTTTAAATTTTTTAATTTTTAGATTAAGTAATACTTTAAAGGTTA